TTGTGTTGAGTAGTTTTAAAATTTGACACCTCAACATTGCAAGGCGCTACCTTTTGAGAATTGCTTATTTTCATGTACCACCATTTGCTTGCACACAAGCTTCAGCGCGACGTATCCAATTCGCTCGCACGCGTTGCAACATTGCCACGTCCTATCGAATCATATTACAAGCTTCGGCCATACCACGTCGTAGTTGATCGATGTCACGAACTTCCGTGGAATACACAATACTTTTCACATATCCCCACAAAAAGAAGTCTAAAGGGGTGAGGTCCGGGGACCGGGAGGTGGGGAGGCATTAAACTAGGATGCCGCGGCCTATCCAGCGATCGGGAAATGTAATGTTTAGAAAGTCGCGCACTCTCCGAAAAAAGTGAGTGGAGGCTCCGTCATGTAGTAACCAGATATTGTCGAACATTTATTGGCACGTCTTCCAATAACTCCGGCAAGCGATTTTGTAAAAAATATAGATATGAAGCACCGTATAAGCGTCTAGGCAATTCAAAAGGTTCTATTAAAGTGTCATTAACGATACCGGCCCACATGTTCACTGAAAACTATTGCTGAAAGGCAGCACGACGTATTTCGTGTGGATTTTCGATAGTGGTGAGTATTGTGGACGTTACGTACACCATTTCGACTGAAACATGCTTCATTTGTAACAAGCATTTGCGCTGTAAATTGAGGATTTCTTGCATGTTCCTGAAGCAACCATTCACAAAGACCTCGACGTAGTGGAAAATCCTCAGGAGTAAGCGCTTGAACACGTTGAATATGCAATGGGTACAAATGAGCTTCTCGTAATGTCCGCTACACAACAGGATGCGAAATATTTACTTGCTGTGCGATACTTCTGGTGCTACGATGCGGATCTTCTTCGACGAGATCTAAAATCATCTCCTCGACATTTAAGATTCTTAGTGGTCGCCCTGAGCCACGGTCGTGACCTCGAAGCGGTTGTACTTCACCGGTGTCAGGATATCTTGCACGGTACACTTGACAAGCTCTATGTCCACTTTTAAAAGAAAACTTGGGAAATACGTCTGTTAAATGTACTTCGAAAAACAGCACAGCAATCACTACAACAATGTATTATAAACTGACTACAGTCCGGCTTCATAAGAAACCTACAAACTCGTAAATAATATTACAGAATTGTTTGTAAGTACTTCCGATACAAGTTTGTGACACTCGGTTTTTGCTCATTTTTCACCCCTTTTAATTTTTGTAATTGTAGAGAATTGTAGAAAGAATATAGGATTATATAAAAAAAATATATAATATTTTTCTACTTATTAACTAATGTCTTCTTTTGTTGAAATTTTCCATTATAATGTTGTTTTATTTATTTAATCAGGAAGTCTAGGGAACGGAGACAGGATCATACACATAAAGTAACAAGTATGACCAGAAAAGCAATTGTCGCAATGCAAATTACATTTGAAAGTAAAAGTAACGTGTTGTATAAAATTGAAATAACTGAATAGTTAAAAAGACATTTTCATTTTAAATTTGCGCCAGGGTTTTAAATTGTAAATTCAGGGAATTAGAAAAAACGAGAGTGTTCTAAATATTACAAATAGGTATATACGATTTTTTTATATAAGTCAAACGTTATGTTTATTTAACGCTCTGTTAAGTTCAAATTTTAACTTAGAAAATGGAAAATATATGTCAGCTAAGTCATTGTATTTCAGAATATATTACAGGTACGCATTTCAGAATTCGTCCAAAGTCAAAAATCAGTTCAAATCATTTAAAAAATGTCACCAATAGATACTAAAATCAATAATGAAAATTTATTTATACCGGGTGATTCAGTTTGATATTCGCGGCCTCGCATCTCTTTTGTTTTATCAGATAGCTATAACAATTTTTAAATCGCCGCTCAAACTCTATCAAATGACATTGTTAGATCGTCTCCATGGTAACATATGTTAAAATTGCTATAGTCAACTGTTTTTGTTCAAATGGCACACTATATATTTTTTTATCAATTCTGGAAGATATTTTTTTTCTGCATTCAGCTATATAAAGAAGTCTATAGTTTCATTAGAAATATTGGTAGAAAAACAGCAAAAAGATGAACGCTACTTTCAGTAGCTTTATTCGGAAAAATGATGGCGAGCTGCGGAAACAACTGAATTTTGACGTTTATAAATAACGGTTTTTCAAAATAATTGACATTTTGTACCTACCTATTCTATCTATAACTAATTATTATTACTATAACATGAATACTTATAGTAACCAAGAGAAACTAGATATGATTTTAATTTATGGAGAGTTCTGAAAGAACGCTAAAGCTGCCAGACATTTATACCAAGCGTTTTCCGCAGAGACAACTTCCATCAGATAAAATTTTCGGAAAGTTAGCCAGGAATTTGGCAGCAGGTGGTTTTCAAAGAAAAGAAGAGTTTTTAAACCCAGAAGGGTAAGAGAGGAAGAACATTCGATAAAGATGTTAAATAGCCTGCTATAGATCTCCAGATCTCATTCCTACAGATTTCTTTCTTGGTCTTACCTAAAAGAAAAAGTTTACTCTTCGCCTTTAAATGATATTGATGAACAGAATAAGAGTAGAATTTCGGAGATTAAATGAAGAAACACTAAAATGTGTTTGTAGAGAGGGAGTGATAAACAGAGCTGTTCTGTGTTTGGAAGTAAATGGAGGTCATTTTGAACATTTGAAATAAGTATTGTTCTAAATTGTTATATTATTATCGTATTAAAAATAAAATATGTTACTTTAAAAAACATAGTATCTTGTTTTCGCAGCTGGCTATCATTTTTCAGAATAAAGCTACGAAAAGTAGGGTGCATCTTTTTTGCCGTTTTTCTAGCAATATTTCTAATGAAACTATAGACTTACTTACATAGTTGAACGCAGAAAAAAAATATCTTCCAGAATTGATAAAAAAATATACAGCAATGTTGACTAGCGACTATAGCAATGTTGACATATGTTACCATGGAAACGATCTAATAATGTCATTTGATAGAGTTTAAGCGGCGATATATAGGGTTTGTTGTAGCTATTTGTTAAAATAAAACAGATACAGGGCCGCGAATACCAAACTGAATCACCCGGTATATTTTCGAGTATTATCGAAGTCTTTAATTAAACTGATGAGTTGTGGATTTGGATTCAACATATGAAATACAAATAACGTCATCTGAAACAAAATTTTATAGGATGAAGCTGAAATTACGCTTTTTGAAATTAAATTGACGGTTTTCAGAACCCACGTATGAAAACAGAGCAGATGCAATGAAATCAGTTGTAAACTCTATCCTCTATTTTACATATTTTACCTCACTACTATTGATATGAAAGTTGGAATAAGCTATTTCCAGCGATTGAAGGCAGTTGTGGGCAGTTGTGTTTGCGTATTTCTCTGTTTAAAATATGTCGCCCGTCACTTCTAATATTCGAAGTAAACTGAAGTGGTACATGCTGCAATTTAATCTAGCGAAATATTTAGACAATGAGATATTGCAATATTTCTAGTGTTTTTAAATGAGGGCGCACAAAAGCTACCAGATAATTTTGACGCCAAAATATGGCAATTGGGCTAAATATACAGTGATCCAAAATTGCTTCCAATCTTCTTACGTATACCTACTTATCAATATTACTTCAATGATTGGTGGAAATTATAGTAACTGAAAGTCACAGGTATTCAGGTAATTAAAGGGTAGGTTCTTAATGGGTTAAAGAGTGTTAAAAATAACAAATTTGTTTCCAATGCAAACTATTACCGTCTCAAATAATTTTGTCAAGGTTTTTGAGATTTCAGTGTATAACCACATCTACCTTCATGTAAAGGGTTTGATTTCAATCAATCAATACGTCCTCATATCCCACAGATCTACAATTTCTACTGTGTTTTATACAAATTGTTTCAGATATACCTATTTTAAATAATCATGGATAAGTGAAATTGCTTGTGCACCATTAAAGGACCCTGCACGGTCTTTATAAAAATGTGGGTTTTGTCCAAATAGCTAAAATTGTGGTAAGTTGTTGGCTTTATGTTACTGATCAAAAGTCTCCACAGTATTTGAGTCCGAAAATGAGTTCTTTCTTACTTATAGCGGTCCGAGTCAATTTTACTGATGATGGTTGTGAAGTAGTATGAGTAAAATATTGCAATGAAACCGGAGCATTTATGAAATGATTATAGAAAAAATTAATCGGATGACGAGAATTTGCCAATTAACCTGGAAAGTATGTTAAATTATGAGAAACTTATATATGCTGATAACGTTAAAATATATATTTTCATATTTCAGTCAATCAGGCCTACAATCTTCAGGCAATAAATTTGTAGTTTGGTCTATTAACAACAAATCTAACCCAATTGTAAATAAAAGAAAACCAATCATTTATACCCGTAAATCTAATCCTGTCCATATTAATTCGCAAACACTCATTCGATACAACTGTATTAAGGAGTTGGGAGTTATTTGACAATCTTTTCACAGCTACACAGCATATTGATTATATTGTCAGGACAGCTTCGAAGTTTTTAGGATGTATAGTATTAGAAATAGTATATTATATTTCAAATATCCCAATACTTCAAACATATTGTATTATGTTTTTGTTAGATCCAAGCTTGAATATTTCTCTTTAATTTGGGATTTATATTATGTCCGTTATATTAATAACATTGAATCCATTAAAAGTTTCTTTCATTTAGAATATTATTATATTAAGCACATATTACTTTTTAATAGACTATGTTATTGTATGTTTAATTGTAACCACTAATATTAACATTTTAATCTACCGAAAATACTAGCAAATATCACGATCTAAGAGCTTCTTTCAACTTAATCGTCCAATAATTGAAATTATCGTTTTTATTAAAGAGGTACATTTTTCTTTGGCTTTGTACCTTTTTGCTTCTACTTCGTTTGCCTTCATTTGTCTTGCCAAGATGAATGATGGAAATTTTAAAGTGCTAGGGAAGGGATTTCTGTTTGTGACTAACCTGACGTAGTCGTTTTTGCAGTAAGTTTTGCCATCCCTCACGAAGCACGTACACGTTTCGTCCAGGAATTGGCGGCACTCTTGGCATTTCAAACAGGCAGCGTGCCACTCGAGATCCGGAGCCACCCTCAGGATGTACTGGTCATGGATTTGGCCCCCGCATCCCACGCAGTGACTGGCTCTCCGGTTTTTCTCTGAAAATAAAAACAGCAGTTTATAAAAAACCACTGATGCGGCCAACAAAATAATATTTCGCTTCTTCCCCCACCCGCTGATGCCATGTGTATTTGGACGTTATTTGTTTATCTAACAACTTTTTTGTACATGAAGTTATTTGAACGGCCTCTTAAGGTGCAGAGGATAGTAAACGAATTCGCGTGCTCAATGTGAGAATATTAAGCTGGTACTAGGTACTGTGGTGTTCGTCAGGTACCGAATGTCTGTGCTCATTGTCAGTACCTAATAGCGCTAGGTGGTGTTACAAATATTCGTTGCTTGATATTTGGGAATACCATATGTGTTCGTCTCAGGTAGATACACATTGAGTGTAACAAAAAAAAGTGATCGAATTTTTCAATTTTAGGAGTTAAATTTCTTTTGCCGTTTAAATTCAATGGATCAAATACCTACTAATGAGACCATTTACAGGATCAGTAGTAATAATTATAATAACCTATATTAATCCTTTAGACATAGTATAGGACAAGTCAGAATTACCACAAATGTTACAAACATATATATTCCACTACACAAATGTGTCAGCAAGATACTCATTTATAGTATAATAGGCTTTCTTGAGCAGTAATTTTTTTACATTAGTTTTAAAAACTACTTCTGTCATTAATTTATGGTGTGGTGCTAGATGATTGTAAAGCTTTATTCCCATGTACAATGGAAATTCCTCAAATTTGGTAGTTTTATGCCTTGGAATGCACATAACAATGTTTTGTATGTAAATACACAGGGAAAACTAAACAGTCTATAATTAATGAAATAGGGCTTACATGATCCCCTATCCGGAACCCTAAACATGTTACGTATAATTCGTTTTTGAACAACAAATATTCTTTCACTCTGCATAGCATTACCAAAAAACACCACACCATAACTTAACAAAAGGCTATAGCACACATTAATTACAGCAGAAATTGGTAAAGAATCTCTGATGCGAGAGATAGCATAATATGAGTTTTTTACTTAACAAGTCGATGTGGGCTGATCACGTAAGATCATATCTACAATAATCCCAAGAAACTTTAATTCTTTATTTATTCCATGATTCTGGAAGTATATGCAATTTGTTTTCTCAATATTAAGTATCAGGTCATTAGTGCTACACTAATTTACATAACGTTTGAATATAATTTCCCAAGATAAAATCAACTCCTCGAAGGTATGTCCTGAGACCAACAAAGACGTGCCATCAGCAAATATTGTCAACATCTCAGTTTGTATATATTTGCGCAAATCATTGATAAATAATAAGAATATTAGTGGACCCAGGACACACCCTTTGGGGCACTCCAGAGCTTGATTTTAGACAATTCGATATCACATTTTTAACTTTTAACTTTTTTAACTATCATTGACCTATCTTTTAAAAAGGTCTTCAGCCATTCCAAGAATATACCTCTAAAATCCAAACTAAACAATTTCGTTTCAATAAAACCAAAGTTTAGGCAGTCGAATGCGCGTGTTAGGTCAACAAAATTAGTACTAACAATATCTCCGTTTTTTTCATCACTTATAATATTCGTCTTTCATTATCTGTTCTGCATTAATATCGTGTTAAATTTTGTTTTATAGTTACGTATAATAAAAAAATTGGGTAAAATAAGGCAGCTATTCAAAAAGCATACGTAGCATAAATCGCACTACTTTTCCAGTTTTTTTTTTTGTATATAAATTCCTACTAACTATATTTTCAGTAAAAAATAACGAAAACATGTCTTCAAATTAAAAATTCTGAAGAAATTAGTATCTTTTAAAAACTACTGTACCACCATTAGTATACATATGTGAAAAATTGAAATGTAGTAATCATTGTTAATTTTTCATTTCACGATTTCGAAAATTTAACATGATTTTGAGTCTATATTCCTAATGTGGTGTATAGGGCACATGCAAAACCAAAACCTTATTTTATTTAGTGTATATTGTTACATTTGTCAGAGCTGTTATCTGTTAAAATGACTTTTGTATGGTAGTAGATAGTGGAAGAAATTCAGCAAGAGAGTCAGTACACTTTTTCAACAATTCAGAATTCGGCAATTTCAAAGCGATAGGCTTGAGTGATCAGTTCGAAAAGTGTCGGTCGTACAGTCCAAAATTAAATTTAACATTTTTCTTCTTCTATATTCGTGCCCTATTAGGACAAGAAATAAGCGAAGTGCAGTTTTTTTTTCCACAAATACTTTTGCCTAGGTAAACATGTAAATCCAGCATTTTGTCTATAAAGCTAGACATAAAATGATGAAAAAGTAAAAAATATTATGAAGGGGTTATGAACCAGTGATCATCATCACAAATGCAAAATATACAGGGTGATTCAGTTATAATGGCATTAATTTTAATCACGTATTCGGAAGGCCTAATAAAGACAGAAAATAGAAAAAAAGCAAATTATCCCTTAACTCCCGTTAACTCGGCGGCCTACTTCGCAATAGTGAACACGCTGGCCGGCGGGGCGGAGTACAAAGCGTTCGAACGTTGAAGTGAAACAGCTGATTTCCTCAGTCATCTTAAATTTTGCAATTGGTTTCAAAACTAAAGTTCAGAGGATCATCATTTTATTAACAAAGTACTATGGACGGATATGTTGTTTTAGCGGTACTGGCATTTTAAATAGGTAGGTACCATACTAATCTTTGAAGTCACAATAAGAGATACGAACTGAATAATTAATTGAACATAATACTAAAAACTCATATTCAATTATAACACGTACTAAAAACGATAATACTATTAAAAATACTAAATTGTCTAACTTAACATTCGAAAACAATTATTACAGGGTTGCCACTAAAGTTTTTATTTGAAATTCCCTGACTTTTCCAGGTTTTCCATGACCAAGCACATTATTTTCCAGGATTGCTATTAGTAGTTATAGGAAAATATTAAAATAATGTAATTAACAATTTGTAAAATAAAAATACTTTATTAAAAAAATAACACATAAAATAACAAAAAAAAAAACAAAAAATTTACTCAGTGCTACTCACTACTTATTAACAATTTCTCTCAATTTTAAAAGCTCTATCTATTTCAGACTTTTCATACTCCATGCTTTCAGTAACTTTGCGCTTCTTATTCGTTAACAACTTTATCTCTGCTACAGCAGCCTCTTTTCTTTTTTTAATGATATCCTCCTCCGTTATTGCTTTCCTCTTTGTAGCAAGTGCTTCCTTATATCTATTATTTGAGAGTCTTACATAAGATCTTAGTTTATCTGTAATGTCAGTATTTACAGATCCACCAAAGTATTTAATGTTGTCATACACCGCACGTTGAGAAACCACTGAATTTTCATGAAGGTTTTCTACCAGTAATTCCTTATTTATGGAAAATCCTGATTCTACCGTTGCATTGCCATGTGAAATTATGAGAATTATTTTAATAACCAACCATAATTCATTGTAATCATTATTATTCATTATTAATTTTACAAATAAATCACATAAATTATCTTCAGAGGTAAACTGCTTTAAATCACTGATAATTTCAACACTTCTAATAAACTCTTGGTACTACTCTAGGCTTTTGTCAGCCACATAACCACTTATTCTTCCTAAATCGTGCAATTCTTGTAATAACAACTTAAATCGACCTGAAGATTCTTGAGGGTTCTGCGTCATTAATTTTGGATTTACGAAGACATTCCTTTGACAATTCCCAAACAAAAAACAGAAGTAAATGAAATAGCGCGTTCACGTGGCTACCACCACGGAACATATACGATAGTTACCACGTTCAGAACGCACGTAGGGCGTATTCGAATAAACCCAAGCAGAAAAATATGTTCAGAATAAAACGTCCGGTATGCAAGCAAATTTTGATGCTATATTCAATATTATTTCATTGATTTTTCCTGGCTTTATTGAATTTCCCTGACCTTAGCCAAAATCCCTGACTTTTACCATAACTCTACAAAATTCCCTGACTATTCCCCGACTTCTAAATTCCCTGAAAATTCCAGGTTTTCCAGGTATTCCAGGTCAGTGGCAATCCTGTATTATCCGTATACATTTGTTTTTATTGACAAATGAGTAATACTTATTAATATTTAAAATGTAAAAACATATCTTATTTAGTCATGTGTGTAGCTAAAAAGCTCTGTTTATTTATTGAAAACGCATTAAAAGCTAGGTTAATGACCGAATGTTACGGTAGGTCAAGATTCACTCTCGATAAACCTTTCTAGGTCAGGAGCGGTCCGAAGAGGGCAAGGGTTTAAATAATGATTTGAAAATATTTTTTTCCAATATGGGAAGTGAAAAGTGGCATGTGATATAATTTTGTATCAAATATTTTAGAAGCGATAAACATCTATTAGAAAAAATCTGTTCATAAGTGAGAAGTGGCCACAATTGATCAAAAACATATTTGTTAAAATATTGTGCAAAACCGTACTTATCTTATCAACTTCGACGTCACCTGTTACATAGGTGTTGTATAATAATGAAAAAGTAATATTGACGGTTGGTAAAAGAAAACGCAAAAAATAACGTTTAGGTAGGGAATTCTGGAAGGAAGCCTAAAGAGTTGAAGATAGGGAGTTGAAGTGAGAACAGCGCGGAGTGAGTAGTAAGACGATCGGCGGGCAGTGTGACAAAGTAGTGTAAAATTAATTGTTTAAAGTGTTATTAGTTAGCAGGTAATATTCTTTTAGTACTTTGTTGTTAATTGTTCTATGTAATCTTGTGATTGTGATGATTATGGATGTTTCATGATAATAATTCTTTGTATGTTTAGCTTCCATTGCTTTATGCTCAAGAGCATATATTTTTCTAAGGTAAAATTGTTATAATTATTCTTAAAGATTGCCCATTATTTATTTCATGTTAAAAATATATATATTGTCCTGATTGCCAGACATTACAATAACGACTTCTTTGTTTCATATCTAACTTTTTTGTCATGATTGTGTTGTTTGAAAAAACGTAGATGTTTCATGATAATAATTATTTGTGTATGT